TTGACAAGGCTGCTGACTACGGAAGGGCTGTGGGTCAACAGTCAAGACCCTCTGATTGGCCAGGAGCTCACAGATATATGGGATAGATAACCATTAAAAATTCGGGGATTGAACTTAACCAAGTTTCTCGGGGTATCATGATGGTATATATATAGTTTAATGGAAAAATGCTGGTGTACCCTCTGGTTGTCGTGGCTTTCTGTAGAATTCGCCATGACTCGGAACTCGATTTTCCGTTGCTCCCGGGGCTTCACCATGCGACTGCCAGTGAAATGGGATATGCATGTGTATCACCCAACACCCAATTCTATGAATTCTAGAACTAGTTAAACAAAATATACATGCACACATATAAAGAATTATATGATATGTATATATGATATATATATATGACACATATATTTGATACATATATATGATACATATATATGATACATATATATGATACATATATATACATGATATATATATATGATATATATATATGTATCATATATATATATATATTGCAGATATGACCAGTGACCTTTCACCACCGCCCAGCGCCAGGTCCTGCAGAGTGTGGAGAAGGCCCCGGGAGGTGGTGGTGACAAGGAGAGCCGCAAGAGTCGCGGCGCGGATCGCGGATGAGCCCAGGACGACCAGGACGACCGGCGTCGTTGGGGAAGATGGATGGGTTTTGACCACTTTTCAATGGGATTTCTTACTGGGTAATGTCTGTAAAACAATAATAAACCACCAATATTTTGATGGTTTATACCACATATAAAAATGGTGATTTAGGGGATGGTTTATCATTGTTTTACCCTACTTACTGTAATTATTCCTACACTAGTATTTTTTTTAGGGGAGAATCTGAAGATGAATGGATACACCACCGAAAATCTCATCATTGGATTGGTTTAAGGCAACCCCGAAAAAAATGCTGGGTTTATCTGCAAAAAACGGGGACCCCCAAATCCAATGGTCGATCACATCTTCCCCACTGAAATGGCATTTTCAGACACACATTGAAATCACCACATCAACTTGGTTTCTCAACCATCCCACATTTCATCATAGATCATAGCAATTTTCCTATCCCATCAAAGTTCATGGTAGACACATCATTTTTCCTACTATATAAATGGTCATGAACATGGGATTAAGCAGACACCCACATGTGAAAAATGGTGGGCTTCCCCCGGCAAAGTCTGGGGACTGGTGGAGTGAGGTTAATAAATTGCTCGCTGATAATTTGTTACATTTTGCGAACTGGACAATTACCATCTGGTTATTTAACATAGCCATGGAAATCACCATTTTTAATAGGTAAACCATCTATCAATGAACCATTTTCCATGGCTATGTTAAACAACCAGATGGTAATTTTTTCTGGTAAATCATCCATACATGGGTCATTTTCCATAGCTAGGGTAATTACCGGAGGGTATCCGGACGGATTTGGACCCTGCCTGAGGGTCATTTTCCTTGGATTGAATTTCCGTATGGCGATTGCTACACGACTGGCTTATGTCACTGGGTCCTGGTAGGGGCCCACATTTTGGACCTCGAAACAAAGCCGACTCGAAACGAGTGCAGCTCAAGCATCACATTTTGGGGTACTATTGGATATTGGTATCAGAAGGTTTAGGCTCACCCGTTTTTTCTGGATAACATTGCTATTTTACATTTTCTATTTTTTGAAAAAATACATAGGGTTTATGATTTGTTTTTCTCTTTTACATACCCTCTGCCTCTGATACTCAGCTCCACTTGCTGGAAATCCCCCATGACTAGTTCGATGATTTTCCCCACAGCCAAAGGGCCTGCAAAAATTCGTGGGTTTCCCAGCCAGCTATGTTTGATCCAGAGGGATTGATATCCTGGTCCTAGTATCCCCATTAAATGTCGCACAATACCACCATTCTTGTTACTTGTTACTTAGGTCAGCATTTTGGCTGGTTAGAGACATGAGATCCCAATGATATCCCCATGATACATCTCATGAAATGCCTATTGTGGTTGTCCCATTAAGCTATGTTAAACCATATTACCCTCTGGTCAATTTACCTAGACCCTGAAAATCACACATTTTTCATGGAAACTCATCTTCCAACCCCTGCCAGGATCGAACTGTTACTGGAGGGCCCGGAAGATAAACCATATTAAGCCCCATCCATCAGCGCCGGTCACGTGGTCACTTTGGGCAGGATCCGTTCGCGCCCATCGCCTCAGATCCTCGGCGTCGAGCGCCAGGGTTTTTCCGCGGCGAACAGTGGGGAAGGATAGGAGCATCTTCAGTGACAGTGGGGATAACAATGGTGAACAGATGACAATCATGATAATGACAAAATCTCGGATATCTCATGATAATAATGACGAATAGGGATTTTTGTATGAAGCATCCGAGATTAGGGTTTGAAGCAAGAAGTGGGGAATCGAAGCAGGTGAAAGTAGGAATTGGACCAATAATTTCTGACATACGCTTTGACTATATAAAGGGCGAATCTCAAGAGTGATGTACAGAAGCCTCGATGAATTTTGCGGGGTGCCCTGAGTTTGACCCATACAAAAATATTGTGGTTCCCAATGAGACCGACATGGATGAACCCGTGATATTATACAATATACACATATATTATCATATATTTATATATACAATTAGTATATACATATATTTAGTTAGTATGTATGTGTATATGTATGTATAAATATAATATACATATCTCGATTTCCAGTTTCATCCTTTTGCCAAATTTCTGCGGACAACCATACTACTTGGCCAAACCATGGGACATTGCAAAAACCGCAAGCATGGCTATGTACACGTTTGCTGTATTCATTTTGTTCTCATCTGCCCAGTCCGCCTTCTTCTCCTCCTTGTAGCATCGTTCAGATCGCATTGTAGCCTTGTAACATCCTTTGTGTTCTTGGAATCTGGACTTTTATCAGTTTTCTAGTTTTCTCCATACACCTCGCATTTTCAATGTTTACATGCAGTCATGGGTCGGTGAGCATTTTTTCCCATCACTACTTTTCTGAAGCATCATTGTTAGAAACCTTGGAAAACTGCATTCGACACTCTTCAGCTGAGGCACGTCCGCTGTCACTCTGGCGTGGGCCTGTCTTCATTTGCTTTTTACAATTGGGCCGCCATACGTATGGTGCCCGCTTGAATCGGAAGGGGCCTGAGATTTTTGTCTCAGCATTCCTCAGCAAGACTGAAAGAATCTGTAAAAGTGGAAGAGGTAAATCCAATTTAGAGCTTGCCACTTTTGATTTCAAGCTGAGATTCCTGAAATTTCAAGCAATCAAACAGGAAGGCAACGCTTGACGAAAAATGATGAACTGCCCTGGTGGCAACGATGGCACCAGGGGGCCCCTTCTGCACCCGAATTCCTTGTGTCTCACGGCACAGCGGCAGAGTGAAGCTGTGAGTCTATGGTGCCTCTGTGGGACCTTGAGCAAACGAACTGCCCACGACGGCCTTTCTACCCTTTTGGGCGGGGCTCGGGGTGGCAGCGGCGAGAGAGAGATGAGTCAGATGTTGAAATCAAAGATGGCGATGGGAAATCGAAGAGGATCACATCAAAGACGGATAGAACTAGGAATTAATGATTTTTGCAGTGCTAGATTCAACTACTAGATGGATCTAGAATCTAGATGGTATGAACTGGTCTTAGTAGTTGCAAGAGGATAGATACCACAGTAGACTCAGTAGACGATATGAGATTACAACTTTGATTGGATTGGCCTGGAAATCCTAGATGTTGGTTAGTTATACCTTCAATCAGCAACTTGTCTTGATTGCTTCCCAAATCCCAAGCCCAAGATGGACCATCACCAAACAATCGATAGGTTGGGTTTCATATGCTGTAAAGGGGCAAACTGTTTTTTTTAAAATACCCCATAGTCTTTCCTTGGCTATTTTCGACTGTTGTGGGTGTGCAACAATCGAACGAACTATGGGGGGGTTCGATGCGCCGCTACCACACTGTGGACCTCACATCTTCCTTCGCCGAGTCCTTGTTTCCGCGGAAGGCCAATCAGACTCCGTGCATAACCCGGTTCAGACTTGCCGTTCCTCCATGGTTCCAAGGGCCATCGTGCCCTCGCCCGGGGTATCCGGTGACGTTGGTATCCAGAAATTCAGGGTCAAAATTTTGGTTTCCGAAATTCAGTCCCTCCAGCAATTGGGGAACTTTCTTGATTTTATGGGGATTCGAAAACATCCGGTAAAATGATCTGCCAACTAAGCACCAAGACTTTGATCTGCCACACAGCCCTTGGCAACCATGGTGTCTACAGCTGTGCATAGCTGTGCATTGCTGTGCTGATTGTTCGCGTGCCCCGATGAACACCGGGTTGACTCATTCGCAGACCCTTCGAAGTCGAAGATCGGCCAAGAAGGTCTGCTCCGTTTCTGTTGATGGCCTACTGTCCAGTACCGTGGCCGCGAAAAAACCTGAAAGCATATGACCAAAAATGTGGGAAAACCCTAAGGCCAATGGGTTCGGATTGTGGAACCAGCCATCTTTTTGTATTTGGATGTATATATGTTGTTTGGGGTCCCCGAATCGTAAGACGCAGGCTGCTGCACAGACGAATAGGTACCACCTAATTGGCACGACCAGGACTTAGATCCCAGGTATATCGCCACCTTGATATCTTGATGCCAAAAAGACCTTGATGCCGCGGAGCATGACAGGTGGGCCATCAACAGTAATTTCCAGGAGTTTTGTGACTCGAAACGACGCACCTGACGCATGGCCACTAGGGCACTTTGAAGCAGCGGAGAGTCGGTTTCTACAGCATCAATGGTAGATGGTGGCCTGATGGCCTTCCTTGTTTTTTTTTGGCAGCGAAGTTTTTTGGTTCAGGTTGGGCCAAAGCATTGACATTTCTTGTGATGTTCTGCAGGTTCTGTATGGGTTTGTCTGAAAATAGGATACCCCAACGTCCCATGGTTGATCATCACTTACCCTAAACTGCCGATTTTAAGTCATACACCCTAGATTCATATCTATTTCATTCTTTTTCTGAGCAAAAGCATATCTCGCTTATCTTTCTTGGTCTTGATCTTGAACTGAAGCGCTTTGCATCACGATTCAGATGTGAAAATGGATCAATACTTGGTTGGATAGTGGGGATAAGTTGGAGCACCCACGAACGGGCAAAATTTGTTATATAATTAATGTTCTAAATCTATATCTATATATAATATCTATATATAATATCTATATATAATATCTATATATAATATCTATATATAAATATACTGTATATAAATATACTGTATATAAATATACTGTATATAAATATAGATAAATAAATAAATATACTGTATATATAAATATATATAAATCTAAATCTAAATCTAAATCTATATCTATATCTATATCTATATATACTGTATATAAATCTAAATCTATCTATCTATCTATATATATATATATATCTCTAAATATATATATAAATACTGTATATAAATCTATATCTATACATATATATATATATCTATATCTATATATAAATATATAATGTATATGACTATATATATATATATCTGAATCTATATCTATATATATAAATATACTGTATATAAATCTAAATCTATATCTATATCTCCATATATATTATACTGTATATAATTCAAGTCCAAATCTATATATATATCTATATAAATATACTGTATATAAATATATATATATACTGTATATAATTCTAAATCAATATCTATATCTCTCTATATATATGTAAATATACTGTATATGAATCTATGTATATATGCAAATAAATAGACTGTATATAAATCTAAATCTATATATATATATAAATACTGTATATAAATCTATATCTATGTATATATAAATAAATATACTGTATATAATTCTAAATCAATATCTATATCTCAATATATATGTAAATATACTGTATATGAATCTATGTATATATGTAAATAAATATACTGTATATAAATCTAAATCTATATATATAAATACTGTATATAAATCTATATCTATGTATATATAAATAAATATACTGTATATAAATCTAAATCTAATATCTATATCTCTATATATATACAGTATATAAATCTATATCTCTATATATATATATAAAAGTACTGTATATAAATCTAAATCACTATCTATATCTCTATATATATATAAATACTGTATATAAATCTATATCTATATATAAAAATAAATATACTGTATATAAATCTAAATCTACATCTCTATATCTATATCTCTCTCTATATATAAATATACTGGATATAAATATATATATATAAATAAATATACTGTATATAAAATCTAAATCTATATCTATATCTCTATAAATAAATATACTGTATATAAATCTAAATCTATATCGATATCTCTACAAATATAAATATACTGTATATAAATCTCTCTCTCTATATATATATAAATAAATATAGTGTATATAAATCAAAATCTATATCTATATCTCTCTCTCTATATATATACATACTGTATATAAATATATATATATAAATATATATATATATATAAATAGTGTATATAAATCTAAATCTAAATCTATATCTATATCTATATCTATATCTATATCTATATCTATCTATCTATCTATCTATCTTTGATATCATTATGCCATCCATTTGAGGGGGTTGATAGTCTGAAACCAGAGCCTCCCAGTGTTGGATGCAATCCATGGCAGCCAAGAATTTTGGGGGCCAAACATTGGGGTTCTGAAAAAAAAGGTACTCCGAATGAAAAAAATTGTCTATCAATGTCTATCATCATTTTCCCGGAAATAAAATGACTGTTTGGGAAAAAAAACCCATGAATAAAGACACCCATTGCTGACTCAATCCATCTCAATCAATCCTGGTGACCCCTCGGTTCGAGGGTAGCTGCCAAATGCCCAGTGGGTTCCTCTGAATTTCGAGTCTTTCGCGGCTGTGAATGGGATCGTAATAAAGACATCGGGACTAGCATCAGCAAAAACCAAGCCCGATGCTGTTGACACTTCTCAAACAATGTTAGCAATGTGGGAAATGGGAAAACCAATAATAAGCCTCCAATGGGGAATAGTTTATACCACGCATTTGTGGTAAAAAAGGGGATGGTTTATTCTTGGGTTTACTACATTAACGGAGCCAATAGTGGCCTGGAGATCTGTTGATCATTTTGATATTCCATCCGTGTCGGGTGTATCGGAGCTGCTTAGTGCTAGTGGTTTTAAACATTATTTTTTTGTTTTGTATCATCCTCTTTGGATGATCCAACTTGACTCTGTTGATGTTTTTGTGGACTGAAACCACCACCAAGTCAGGTAGAGCTGCAGCAGTGGTAGCCGTTTCCGCAGCTGGATCCCATTCAGAGCCCCGCAAGCCCCGCATGCCCGGATGTAACTTCTGACAATGCCAAGACGGGCAAAAGTGTGCAGAAACCTCTCTTTGGCGGTTGTGGTTGAATGTTGTTGAATGAACCTGCCTTGAGTTATGGGATCAAAAGTCAAACACATTTTTTTTTCTAAATATCAATGAAACTGGCGAGTGCCCTGAACAACCAAAACACAGCGGTCCTCGTGTTTATGTGGATTTCTTTTAGGCGATTTCCCAGAGTACCACTGACCCACCACGTGGCCGACCAAGACCAAGCCCCCATCTCTAATGGTTGTTAAGCTCGGAGAAATCACGAAGAACCCCCAATAATTGAGATTTGGGATTGGGCGGACTATCGATCCATGTATCTACACACATAGACATGTATCCATAGGATATGGAGAGATGTTTGTCTCTGTAACTACATATATAATATTATAGAATAATATACTGTATATATATACACACGATATGTAGTATTATTAGTATTACTGTATTAGTATTATCATTTTTTTTATTAATATTATTGCTACTATTATTCCTATTACTATCATATTATAATGCTATAGATTTATATGTGACACCCCCACAGCTGAGGTCGCCGGACCTGAGGTCGCAGCGAACGAAAAAGACCGGGGGACTGGTTGGCTTGGGAAATCCACTAATGGTGGCTGGTAGCTTAAATGGTGGTTTTATTCGAAGATTAATACAAGGTGGAATTATACAAGCTGGGCCCCCCCCAAATAGAAAATTCCCTACAAAGGTCTCAATGAGAAAATCATATATACATGGAGGATTTTCCATGGCAATCTTGATTATTCGGACTTCAGCACCAAACATGTGGACCTCTATAGCATCCTTTGACCAACAAAAATGTTGAATGACTCAAATTCAATGAATACAAATGGAGAATAAATAAACAAGAATAGAAGTACCAAACATGCAGATTTCTGATGATTTAACCAACAGAACATGGTAATTTGACCGACAAAACGAAGGATTGGATAGGCTCTAAAAGTCACCAAATTTTTGCTTTGAAACCATGGGATGACCTCAACTGTTATTATACAGGTTATTATCACAGTATATCATTATTATTATTGGTATTATCATTATCTATTATTTGTTGTTGATTATTTATTTTTGATACCCAGTATTAAACACTTGGGTTTCCTGGGAAACATTTGGACATCTTCATATTTCGTGGGAATTGCTGTAATCTGACTGGAGCCAATTTGTGTAGGCAACGAGAGATGAACATCTGGCTCGGCAAGATGGTGGGGGGTCTCGGTGGCTGCCAACCTGGGAGACGCGGGAGAGGTTTTAAGTCATGGGGGTACCCCAAATCTCCCAAGTCATATTGAAATCCATGGTGACTCGGGGATCCCTCATTTTATATAATCCCGTTTAAGAAACCCCCAGATAAGCCAGGATCGGTGAGACCTATATCAGTTTCTTCTTAGGGGTAGCAATTTTGTTCACCAATCCGGGGTTGACATTGTATAAATGACCAACGAAACCGGTGAATGTGGCCAACGTAACTATGGTTATTCAATTGGGGGTTTCAACACGGGGAGATTACCTAATAAGGAGTGTGACTGTGATATAATGGGATACAAATACCTCCAATACTTCTTGGGCATGGGCCTAAAATTAATGCACGGGAAACTACAGTTGACTGGGTGACGGGTCCTTTTCAACTTACACCGTACCCTTTTGTGGGTACCCAATTTTGACCAGTTTCTCAAATGGGGAAATAACAAGAAATCATGGCGAGATCAGTCAATGGAATGGGGATCTTGACATCCACAGGGTCCAGAAGTGGGGCTTTGGGCTTGGATTTCCCACAGCCCGGCTAGTTGCCGGGCGGATCATTTTATATACATTGGAACAAGAGTGGATCTATCACCAATGATAAATTTTCCATGCTAGAATTGGCAGATTTGCTCGCAGTTGGCACAAGGGCAAGGTCTTGCTCCACCAAAATACAGGTGGCTGACACCTGCCAAACTGGCCGACCCTCATCCCCTGAGAACATAGTCATTTTATAGCTGATGGGCTGATGAGCATGATTCCTGGGTGATCATCACACCTAGGGTAACTGTATATAAAATACCACAACCCACCAAACAGATAGGAAAGCAAAACCCTACTCAACGATGTGATAAATATTGTTTTTTGGTTATATATATATAATACTATATATATAGCATATGATTGCATATATATTAGTATCTATATAAACACTGACCATTTTGAGCAAATCCGCAAATGAGATCACCCGATTTTACTCGGGGAAACGGTTGACAGGATCAACTTCAAACGCTGCAGCATTTGCAGGCGCAGCAAATGGGTACAGCCAGCATTTTCCCAGAGCTGGGCATTTTGTTTCTTTTAAAGAACACATTGTTTGACAACACTCCCCAACAAAGATAGGACATGTTTGTTTGTTTGAAAGCATCATCTATACCATCCTGGAAACACTTGTGTATCTTTTTGGGGGTTACTCTATCAATTATCAAACGGAACTCCAGGATTTTTGAAGGGTTCATGCAGATTGACCTCCTTGATTTTGGTCGTGATTGTTCCATGATTTTGTCGGAGTTCGACATGCACATTTCCTTTCTTCGATTCCAATCTGACGTGATGCTCCCCAATGAAGTCATATGCTTGGGAGCAGTGCCTCAACCACTAAGTAGATTCTCTCCAACTATGCTGCTGAACCTCTTCATTTTTGTTGGTAGGCATCCTCAAATTATGTATCTCCCAACGATTTTCGCATTTTAGTGAATATGGCCAGGGAATCTCTCGATGACGGTTGGCTCAAAAGCAACTTCATATTTCTTGGTCAATCTCCTCGTGTTTGTTACATCCTAATTTTACGGAAATAAACGCACCCATACATAACACATACTGTACACATCTATATGATTCGATATGTATCATGTAACATCAAGGTACATTTAGGCAGTTAATTTAGATATATCCCAACTCTATCCTGCTCTTTGGTGGTGAATAGCTGCCGGTTTCTCCGCTGCGGGATGGGCGAGGCCTGCAAAGACCGAGAGTTGGTCTACCTGCGAGTCGTAGGGTCATCTCAGTGGTTTTGATTGGGAGGACCTTAAATGTTTGGAGGGAATATATATATATTATTATTATTATTATACTGTATGCTTATATACATATGTAGACATATACTTATACATATACATATATCTGGGCAAATTATAACGACCTCACTGAATCATGGTTAATAAGAGGAATCATCCAAAAATGGCCTCATTTCAGGTTAGGGAATTACTCTAATTTGCCCATATATATATACAGACACACACACACATGTGTACATACACATATATATATACATATATATATACACATACATACACATATATACAAATATATAGACATATATACATATATATACATATATATATATATACATACACACATATATATACATACACATACATACATATATATATATACATACATATATTATATATATATATAAATACAGGTATATATACACATATGCATATATGCATATATGCATATATACATATATGCATACATACATACATACATACATACATGCATACATGCATACATGCATACATGCATACATGCATACATGCATACATGCATACATGCATACATGCATACATGCATACATGCATACATGCATAGCATCTATGTTGCCTTTTTGATACCCATGATGTGTATATATATATATACATTAGATCTCGATATTATAGAATATCATCTGATCTGGCAAGGCTTATATATATATATTTACATATACACATACTATCACATACTACAATATCAATCTACAATTATTTTCATACTAGATCATATCATAGATCAACATAAGAGATCATATCAATCATAGATCATATATCACCATAATATATATATATATGTATATCAGTACATCATATCATCTGCCAAGGCCATGACCATCCGACGCCTAGAGGAGGATCAGGGCGTCGAGCATCGCTTGGTCTTGAACCGCGTGGCATGGCTTTGAAACGTGGAAAATCTGGGAAAATCTGGGAAAATCTGGGAAAATGGTGAGTTAAACGGTTGGAAATGGGGAGTTAGCTCTTGGAAATGGGGTTTTAATGTGATTTAAGCATTAAGCATGTTGATTCAACTATGAACGATAGTGTTTAATCTGATTGGAATATCATTGAGGATATACGAGCAAGCGCATCAACCAACCACTATTGTTGAGAGGTCGCCATCATAACATTATTTAACTTAACCCCTATGGATGGGGCGTAGTCAGCCCGACAACCACAAAATTCGGAGGTCAAAATGGTCCCTGGATTGCCTGGATTTCATGAGGATTCAACCCAGTATCTTGATGATAACCATTTCATTTGGAACAAGAGGTGGGCTTGAATTTGCCGCTGTACCCAGCGTCATCATAAGAGTGTAGCAGGTTAAATTCACCTTGTCAGCCCTGGCATAGTCCTATTATGACTCCTTTGCGAAGGATTCCTGCGCATAGACAGCATCAGCCTTGACAGCAAACAAATCATCGTCACTGTTTGAATCAGTACAACCGATTCCTTTCCCAACATCGACCTGCGGTCACCAGGGTGTTTTCATGCCTCAACAAGTCGTAGGGGTCAAAATTTCAGGCGACCTCCAGTTTTTTTTTTTATATTCCCCCTTCAGATCGTTTTTCATCAGCATTCACCACCCATGGTGTTTTGAGCAGAATCTGCACTTTAATTTCGATTGGTGGGGCTTCAAATCCACATCGCGAGGACAACCCCAGTCCCTTAACCCATCTCCGAACTCGTTAGAGGTCAAAAATTCAAGACACTGGGACCGCAAATCTTGGGTTCGCGTACTCATCCAAGAAGGGGTTCAAGGGAAATTGCACAGGTTTTTTTTCTATGTTGGGAAATGTTCTGAGTACGAAACCATCCAATTTCTTGGGTCCAAACTTTTGACACGGTGCCGTCTTTAAGGTCTCCCAGCACCTGCAGCAGATGCGGCTCTTCCTGGCACCTTGGTGGCGGAGGATTTTCCGCAGATTTTACCATGGATGTTACCAGCATTTGGTGATTTTTAGCAGCACAAATACTGATTTAATGAGGAGATATGGTGATTTAAGTGATAGTCAGGCCAACATGTTGGGCACCCATTGAGAATTCCTGCCGTGATAGTCCACCCAGGTGAATTGTCGCAGTTGCTGCGAGGTAAACTCAATGGTTTTGCCCAACGTTTGCCGTTAAAATCCCAACATATCCAAAGCTCCAGTCGCCAGCGCCAAGGAGAAGACCCTCCGTGCTTCTGGTGTCTCCTCATGTTGGGGGCACCTGACCTTCACCGGGAGTCAGCAGTATGTTGGGGTGCAGGGCTTGGGTTGCCATCCAAAACTGGGATTCAGTTTGCAAAAATTCGATTTGGGACTTAAATTTTAGAAATTGTAATCAAACAGGGTGGGCTTGAATTAATATAGATAAGGTTTTTAAGCCACAAGTGGACCTTTTTTGCCGCCTGCCTTTCGTGTTCCCTTCTCAAGGTAACCTAGATAGGGGTTTGAACCACAAGATCCACACATGGATATTATGAATCGAACTGTGCGGCCCATATTTGACTACATTTCAACAGGTATTAGCCAAACAACAGAAACAAATCATCAACGGCCAAAAGAGGAACTTTGGGTAGAAATAGGTTTGATCTGGAACAGTGATCCAAAGCGAGAGTCTCAACGAGACCAAAAGAGGATCCTTCACCAACACACACATCAGGATCCGACCAACAAACATGAGAGTTTACACCAGCGAAGTCAAAAACACGGTAACGACATTTAAATATGTGGAGGGCGGGCCAGACCGCGAGGCCCCGGAGGTAGTATGAAATACCAGTTCGTATAATTTCGTATATTTAAATGTAGTTACCGCACAACTGTTGTTTATCCAATGAGAACGAGGGTAGTGTCAGCAATCATAGGAAGGGATCTGGATAATCTATACCGACCTCATGGCCAGCCAACCCACCACTTCAAGCTAAAGATGGGGAAAACCATTGTTTTTCATGATCCAACAAAGCAGGGTTGGCCACATACTTTCAGGTCCCCATGATCTTGCCTTGTCGCGATCCTGGTGATGGTATGGGCATCAGATGGTATCCAAGTGTATGAATCATCATCGGTCGTCAATAGGCATCATTCCACCATTTTGTGAGGGAGGATCCAATGTTACTGCTCGAATTACATAATATGTATCACCGGGTTTGGCGGTTTTGTCGCATTCTTGTCGGTTAAATCCCCATTATTGTTGGTCAACATCCAATTTGTGTCGACAAACAATCACGAAAATGCAGGCAGAGATCCCTTGGGTGTTTGCAGTTCAAAACATGTTCAAAGCATGTTACACCATGTTACACCTCTGTTTTCCTGCTTCAATTCCCACTTTTTCATGCTTTTTTCCATGATTTTTGGGTGCAACATCAAGCATTTTTGGTGCAAAATCACCATGGTTTCGCCATGTCCCAGGTTTAGACCTCATGGGCGTCACCCCGGGCAGCATGTGGGGCTGCCTGGTGTCCACCTGGCCGAGTGCGGCGTTTTGATGGTTTAGTGGGAATCATTCCAACCAAAAAACAAGTTGTCTATATGTCTATATATGGCTTCTACATATAGTTAGATATACAGCTTTGTAATCATATCGTGTGTACATATAGTTATATGTATATAGTAGTCACATGGTTTATACCTTGCAGGCTTGTAAACCACACTCATGTGTCCAGAAATGGTTTCGGTGAACCATGGTTCAATGGATATTACACATTAAGAACCGGTTCAAAGAAGGGATCTACTTTCAACGGAATATCCTTATTATATGGGTAAACAACAACGCCGAAACAATAAGTAGAAAAGTTAGAAAGCTAGGAATTTTGAAGTCAATATCATTTATGACATCCTTGAAGAACTGTTAATATCTTCTTGGGGACCCGATAGGTTAACCCAAAATAACCCAGATGAATAGATGATGTGGACTACCATTGGACAGGTAAGAGAAATGAACATTGCAACATGAACCACACTCTTCTTTGAGATCTTTAAAAATCGAACCTACCGGGTAGGGTGAAATGATCCACGACCACGTGGGATACCCAGGTCTGTTAAAAATTTGGTTCATCCCTGCAGCAGGACATGAACTAGCCATAGATTGGCTCAGTGATTCGGTAAATCCAAGTGGCACAATTGAGAAAGGTTAACCTTGGCCACGTTCAACACTATCATAGCTTAAGCTCTAAACATTTTCTCTAGCGACGGCTTGACATTCCGGCTTGTTATGACATAACATAACATAACCATATAAAACCTAGGCCCATGAAAAAAATTCTATCCCCGTTTTTCAGGGTGAAATCACCCCGTTTTTCCATGACATCCCATTGAAATGCTGGTGAAGTCTCCCCATGTTTTGATGGAGACACTTTCGCTCCGCCAGTGTACTGGAGCAAGAGAGCTTCATCCATATGGTCCGGCCGTTTTTGGCGGAGAAGGGGGGTGAAATGACCAAGAGAAATGGTGGAAGAATGGCGGATACATGTTGATGGAATGGAGATATGATATATATCTTTGGATAAAATGTGGTAAACTCACCAGTTGTATAAAATCCCCATCAATAAATGTGGTAAACTCAATAATGGGTGGATTAATGAATCATCCCCAAAATCACCAGTTGTATGGGTGCTATAAACCATCCCTAGATGGGAGGTATATATTTAGTCTTGGTGAAGCACACATCCATCCTTTGGCGACAGGACTGCGGTTTTTTACAACAAGAATGGTGGGGGCGGTAACCAAAGGAAGGTTTTAACACGTTTTAAGAATGAGAATGGGGCTTTGAACACCACACTGCATCTTAATCAAGAGAAATGGGAGTTTCGGACCCAAGGGACCGCATAACTTGTTCAGTGAATACCACGGTGAATCAACAAATCGGCGATCCTCAGCTTTCTGCCGCCATTAGATTCATGCTGATGACTGGTGTAATAGATATGATCCTGTCATCACTCAACCTGTGTGAGCATCCAGAAGGTCTTGAATTTCTGTCTAAATCAAGACCATCAACCCATGGGTGAAGAGTGCATACTGTACGCTGAAACAATTGGGACTAGTTGTGTTGCTTTGGGTGGCCCATCCCTGGTAATTCATATAATATAATTTAATGTGATTTTGTCCCTTGACACTATGGACCTCCGTATTGGCAAAGGATTCAATCAGGTAGAAGCCACTCTGATTGGGCACACGCTTTCCATTCTTGTTCTTCCTTGGACCAAACATATTCAGCCGTGGATTCCAGCCAGGTCCTCCGAAATGAGCGCATCCTGGGTGATGTGACAGCCAGTTGGGGACCCCAAACGCTTTCGGAAGGTTATGGGAGCCAACATGAAACTTCGGGACCCTCGGAACAGTCATTGTTTGTTGGCAAATGTTTGCAAATATCCTCCACTAAACTTACCTATGGGAAAATGGCCCATTTATAGATGATTTACAGTACCTAATTCTTGAACATGATTATGTTCCGTAGCTACCAGATGGAAGCATGAAACAACAATGGGGATATGAGTGGCTGTGAAGGAATCAAGCTGGGGGTGTCGACAGACAGTTTTGTTGGATGTCTCGAAACATCCCCAAATTGGCGATGTGAACTTGGGACCGATTCATTCCCTAAACGGCTAAGGCTTTTAAGGACAGCATTCCGATTTGGGAAAGTCCTTAATGATCCATAATTTTAGAAGCTCAAGGCTGGTCGGGCCGAAGCTTTGATCCATTGAAATAGCTGGCTGGTCGGGGCCCTTTTTGTAGCCGGCTGTGAGAAATCCACCCATCTTCCAGTCATCCATGGGATGAACATCTCTGATGATTGACCTGCCTATGTTCCAGATGGCTTACCCTCTGGTGAACTAACATAGCAATGGAAAATCACCATTTTTAATGGGTAAATCCACTATAAATGGCCATTTTCAATAGCTATGTTAGTTCACCAGAGGGCTTGAAGCATTTTTTTTCCATCTGGCTTTGTGTGAAAATGGGGACCGCTACATCCACTGGTTGGTCATCATTTTCCCCCGGGGTACACACCAGTTCCAGACGCAGCCGTGTCTAGATCTAGACAATGATGGTTGAATTGTTGGTTGCATATCCGGTTGCATATCCGGATAAAATCACCAGACAATTTCCACCCCATAAGAAATTCCATAACATATTTCCACACACAGAAAATCCCCATAGAAAAGTCACAGATTTTGATCTAATCCTCAGTTTCCTCAGTTTTTGTTGGTTGTCTATCCCATTATATCCACTCCCCATATCCACACGTATATCACCATATTCCCATTGGATACACATAAAACCCCCCATGATGGAATTGTTGCTTAATCTCCATTAGTTTCATTGTATACATCATTATCCAATGCTATCCATGATTATCCATTTATATGTACATATATATATCCATATTCCATTGGATACAACTACGTATAATGATACCCCTTGTCCACATGATTAGCATTTGTCATCCATACATCCAACTATATCAAATTATATCACCATTATCAAAAACCATATCCATTATCCAATGATATCACCATTTATTATCCATATGTAGTGATTACAAATGGGTTGTCCAATATATCCAATGACGTTCCATCATCAAAAACATCCATATCCTCCGATTTCGGTCTCCAGTTGCTTCACCTCGCGGCGCCAGCTCCCTGAACCGCAGCCAGTGCCAGGTGCCGTTTTCCCAACCAAAGCGGTTTTGGTATCGGTGAAACCCTGGGATGTTTACCCAACCAAAATGGGGATTTTGTATGTGGTAAACCCATCTAAACCCAAGAAATCATCCCCAAGTACCATTTTGGGTGGGATAAACTAACCATCCCCAAGTGTGATTTATGGCATTGGGTTGCCCACATGATATAACATGCCAAAAAGTTGGACACCTGGATGTTTTTTCCTGGAGACGCGGCATAACATATTCAGCAAATACGTATAGTCCGAAAAAAATACTTTGTGAAATTCCAATATTTGCTCCAGAATACCCCATGAGATCAACTCCATATTTTGATGCTTAACTGCACATGCAGCGGGTGAAATCCATCCTTTGGATTCCTTTGGCAGGTTAACTTTCCCATATTTTGTTGGATGATTCAAACCAAATTCTTGATAAAATCAGGTTCACGCCCCATCCTTTGAGGGGAAACCCTTTTCTTTGATGCTTACTTTTTGACTTTTTTTAGAGCTTTCAGAGGGCTGTGCCAAGCAACTCTTTGATGCTTTACAGACATGTTAAAACCAGTATTTTTTCGATGGCAAAACTGGTAAAACCACATTTTTTAATGGTAAAAACACTATTTTTCTTGGGGAATCCGATGGGACATCTGCTTCAGGGCATCTCCGCCAGCTTCGGAAGCGGCAGTCGTGGTGCCTCGGTTGGTGGGGGTGGAAAAAAATCGTGGTTTTACCTACGATTGTTTAGTGTTTTTCTGATGTTTTCTCATTTGTAAATGGTGGTTTTACATGGTTTTACCTATTTGAAGATGAGGTTTTTCTCATGGTTTTCGATACTTTTGCATCCTTTTCACGTCACAAATGGTGGTTTCACCTATTCGAATCCACCCTTTTGGACTGCGAGCGGAGAGATGACCAGTGCAATGGACACCTTTCTCCGTGCTACATCCGACCACAGCGACATGGCATCCAGGTGGCAAGGGTGCGGACCAGATGGGCGCCTCACTGGAGCTACGAGCCTTTGGTGAATTTCTAGGTCGGGGTGGCGATGGCAGAAAAACATGGAGGAACTCACCGAAAAAAATACTGTAATGGTGAGAAAACGGCAACAAATTGGAGAAGATGTAGGGCAACTTCGTTGGTTCATTTAGATGAGCTGACCATTTGTTTGCACTTTGCCACCGATTCAGCTCCAGGTGCCCGTTTCCCTTCGTTGCGGGCAGCATTATCTGCCATGGACGGGCGATGTCGGCCATGGGGGTGCCATATGTTGATAAACTCTAACGATTGGGGGGTTGCTCCTAGCAGTAACTAGACTCCATCTCTTTAGGACTTACTGTTAGAGGATATCCTTAAACTGTAGGATACTGTTGACCAACTCCCCATGGGCGCCAGGACATCACCGGCACAGGGCGGGTGGCTTGCTTCGAGCTGGAATCGTACAGAGCTGAGTGCGGGAGCGGCTGGGGACCCATGGGTCCCATTTCACCAGCAAATTACCAGCTCAAATGGTGGGTTTCACCATCAACTATGGTTTCACATGGTTTAACTATCCTGAAATGGGGATAGATATAGCATGATATAGCAGGGTTGACTGTAATCCATCATCACCCATTTCGGGTAAATGAGGGGGACATGATTGGCTTTACATCATTTTACCTCCTTATCTACTCACTTCCCCACATGTCTACAACCCTGCAATAGGGGGTTGAACATGCTTTGACCATCCTGCAATATATATATATATACATAGAGAACATTTGCCAATACATGAATTCAAGTTGGTCAGATGTCCCATGATATCCCAACATACAAAACACCATCAATATTCCCAATTCCCAATTTTCAAGCCCGATAAGACGATAGGTGGCTGCGACAGCAGATGTATCCTGGAAATGCCCGGATGCTGCTGAAGGCCAGGAACAGCAGTATGTATTCAATATTTCATGGTGGAGGTTGTGCGCCTTCCTGGATGAAAAGGGTGGACTTTAGGATTTTGACTAATTACCAGCCACATTGGGGACTTTAGCAGCAAAGACCGTTATTTCACAAGCACGCGTTGCTTTTTTGGCCAACAACAATGAAGGATTTGCCAGCGAACATGGGGATTTGACCCCCATCGAATGTGGACACGAATGTAGAACCTCGAGTTTTCTGCCCGGTGGCGGTGGCGGTTTCAAAGTCCTTCTCTTGTCCATCCGACCAATACTTTCGGAATGTTTTGAAGCCCCATGAAGCCCCAACCTGCTTTGAGTTACTAGAAGAACCGGCTAGATCATAAGTTATAAGGTGCATGCATTCATGCATCTTGGACTGTTGCCTATGGCTGTGATGTCCTTGACCGGGAGTTGCCACCCCACAAGCATTGGAAATCGCGCACACAGCACGAGCCTGGAGACCAGAGACTGATCAGCGAATGACGATGTTCAAGGTAACCTGACGGCTAGTGGTAGGAGGACACCACATTTCGTCTCAATGTTACATGGCAAGGCACAGTGGGAATTGATTCTTGCAATTTCTGGCATCACCGAACTTCTCAGTTTGTTTCCACCCACACCAAACTTTGCTCCTGTCGGCAGGACCTGGGTCGCAAAGGAAGTTTAGGCGGCGACGGGGTTCCGGCAGCTGAAGGGACGATTCGTCAAACCGATGATTTGCTGGTGAACATCAACTTTTTCTTTGATCATCTCATCATTTTGAATGAACGAATCCAATCTTTGACTAGTCACTATCTATTTAGAATCCAAGTAAATCCATAAAAAAAACATCATTTTATGGTGAAACCATGGGGAAATCATGGGGATAGTGTGGGATACAACACCCACAATATGATACTTGGGTGTGTGTAAATCCAAAATTTCGGCTGGTGAGGTCCGATTTTTTCGCTGGTTTCGGCAGCGAAAAAACCTCCATTTTGTGTTGGTCAGTACCTGACCGCCCAGGCATGGCACAGCTGCGGTTTCTGGCGCCCGCCTTTGTGCGTCAGAGCGATCCCCGGGGGCGACCAGGTGCGAGATCGACATCAGATAGCTGGTTGATTGGATAAGAACCAGGGACTTATACCTACTTATACCAGCTATCAACCAGCTATAATTCATTGAGGACTAATAGTATTGGGGGTGATTCGGTTAATCACTCGTATTGATGAATTTGTTGGGACTCATGATAATTAACCAATCACCTGATTGGTTGGGAAATGACAACTATCAAATGTAGGCAAAACTATCTATTACCGTCTAATGTATTATTCAGGGATTATAATTATAATATAGAATGGGAAATCTATCAACCAACTAGTATTTCATGAGATGGGATAGGTGAGGGGTATTTTTACTGGCTCAGTTGAAGGCTGTCAACTGTGATAGTTGAAGTAGTTCTGAATAGTTTTTGATAGTCGAACTTTTTCTGATATGTTGAGCTGTCACATATTTGATCAAGAAAGCTTTCAGCATTTCATCAACATAGTCCGGATAGTTCTGATAGTTCTGTGGAATCTCAACATAAAGTTGATTTGGTAGTTTAAAAAACAGCTTAAACAAACACATCAGCTGACTTAACGAAGAGCAACATAGATCAACATAGTTTTTACATGTTTTTACCAACAATGGCAGCTTTCCCCTGCAGAAAGTGGGTTTCGAGGCCAATGTATTCGGCAACATGTCCCAGTCATGGATTCGAATTTCAGGCTTCATCCTGCTCAGCAGTTACAACCAGGAAATCATCCCCAAAGTGGGGAAGATTTCGACGATTTAGCCAGACGTAGAGATGGCCCCACAAAAATGGAATTGCCCAACAAAAACCTGCCGCCATTTTTTTCTAAGGATATCCAAACAGGTGGTGGCTGCGTTGATTTAAGGGAAAACTTACACGACTCTCCAGTATTTTATAGTAAAACCATGTAAAAACCCAGTGCTCAAAAAACATATTTGCTGATGAAACTCTGTTTATTGGATAAATCATGATAGTCGGTTAACCAGCTAAGTTCTAACCCATCCCATGTTACTGTATCCTCATATTATGATGGCTCACCGGCTAAGCCGCCTCGATAGGCGGTGCCACGGCCGCCGCCTTGGTCCGAAGCTTGTGGCAATCTGTGGATAGCAAAGCACGGCAGTACCAGCCACTGGAGGCCCCCATTTTTTCAGAGATTGATGAGCCCGCGAAACTGGGGATATGATACATGCATATGTATATCTAGATATCTACGTATATCCCCCCCCCTTTAACCCTGGAATATTTGGGGGGGGTAAGGCAAGAAATTTCTGAGAAATATTTCACCTGACCACGTGAAATATACCCCCCCCCCACGTTTTTTTTTGGGCTTCTAAAAGACGTGGGGGGGGGGTTCCTCCGGATGCCACATTTGCCATCCCTGGAGGAGCCCCTTGTTGTTTTCTACCCTGGTGGTAAGAAATGCCACGGTGAAATTTTTGAGGGGGGGTAGGTGCAAAACCATGGTATTTTACAGTTCTAGCAGGGTCCCCCCCAATAAAATCCATTGCCATCCCTGGAGGAGCCCCTTGTTGTTTTCTACCCTGGTTGGAAAAAATGCAACGGTGAAATTTTTGAGGGGGGGTAGGTGCAAAACCATGGTCTTTTACAGTTCTAGCAGGGTCCCCCCCCAAAAAAAAACATTACCCGACCTGGAGGAGCCCCTTGTTGTTTTCTACCCTGGGGGTAAAAAATGTCACGGTGAAATTTTTGAGGGGGGGTAGGTGCAAAACCATGGTATTTTACAGTTCTAGGAGGGTCCCCCCCAATAAAATCCATTGCCATCCCTGAAGGAGCCCCTTGGTCCAGCCTTGAATTCAACCACGCCCAAAGCCATTATAGACCAGAATTGTTTAGCTGAAATATTTCACTTTAGGAGGTGAAATATTTCAAGGTGTGTGGGGGGGGGAGACCCCCCCCTAAAGTGAAATATTTCAGTTTTTACCCCCCCCACCTCCCCCCTTAAAGGGGGGGATCTACGTATATACGTATATATATATATATACATACATGTATATGTATATGTACATACATATATTCGGGTTTATTTTTACTTTTTGTTTCAAGTCATATTTTTTGAAACCATCTCCAATTTGGGTTTATTTGGGTATAACAATATCATATACCTAGTACCAGTATGATACAGAATAGGTCCATATGGTTGGTTAATGGGATTGTTTACGGGAGTTGGGCTTAGCGCACTAATGATACAACTCAAGGTAATCAACACTTTAAAGAATCCCACCTTTGGACCCTTTGCAAATGGAGATGTCATATCAATGGTTATTTCAATATTCTTGTAAATGGCTATAAAATAGGGATGTGAGGGGGATATGGAATGGATCAAAATTGAGGGGTTAATCATAAGAGTATAGGGAAGCTTCATCAACCAAAATAGGCAATAATATCCATCATGATACATTGCCCTAAATGGAAACCACAATGAATAGATCCACTGCTCAACCAGCGGTTCTGGGGGATGTTAGCTTCAACGGGGTGGCACATCCCGATTTGATACAGTACTATGTATATATATATACACATAATATGTATATATATATACACATAATATGTATATATATATACACATAATATGTATATATATATATACACATAATATGTATGTATATATATATATTCATGCATGTAATTGAATGTAATGTAATGTAATGTATGTATGTATTTGATTTTAGTAATTTTACCATAAACAAATGGAGTTGTGCATCTGCAAATTTAGAATACCGGAAGGAACATCAGAACTCGCTATACAATGGTCATGTAAGCCGAGACTATTTTGATATGGATATGGACCACTATGGAGTATCCCTTGAGACTCAAAATGGACAGCTCAATAATTTTTGGTTGGTGGTTTGGAACATTTTTTATTTTTCCCCACCTGCCAGGTGAGGGTTGTTAGATTTTATGTCAGTTGCCTGCTCCTCCTCTCCTCATCTCCTCTCCTCCTCCTCGTCGTCCTCCTCGTCCAACTGCGACCCGCGATCCACAGTGTTCTCTGTCGGACCTCAACCACGACCATCCACGCCCAGTGTTCCCTGCCGGACCTCAACCACGACCATCCACGCCCAGTGTTCCCTGCCGGACCTCAACCACGACCATCCACGCCCAGTGTTCCCTGCCGGACCTCAACCGCGAGTATCCACGCCAAGTGTTCCCTGCCGGACCTCATGTAGGAAGATATGGGACAAAGAATGTGCAGAAGAAAGTTAGAAAGAATGTCAGAAAGAAAGTCAGAAGATATGCCATAGAATGCCAGAAGAAGATATGCCAGAAGATATGCCAGATAGAATGCCAGAAGATATGCCAGATAGAATGCCAGATAGAATGCCAGAAGATATGTCAGATAGAATGCCAGAAGATATGTCAGATAGAATGCCAGAAGATATGCCAGAAGATATGCCAGATAGAATGCCAGAAGATATGCCAGAATATATGCCAGAAGATATGCCAGATAGAATGCCAGAAGATATGTCAGATAGAATGCCAGAAGATATGCCAGATAGAATGCCAGAAGATTTGCCAGATAGAATGCCAGAAGATATGCCAGAAGATATGCCAGATCATTTGCCAGAAGATATGCCAGATAGAATGCCAAATAGAATGTCAGAAGATATGTCAGATAGAATGCCAGAAGATTTGCCAGTAAGAAAATGTATAAATGTCATGGTGGGGATCACACGAAGTAAAGTAATTTATTTTTCCCCACCTGCCAGGTGAGGGTTGTTAGATTTTATGTCAGTTGCCTGGTCCTCCTCTCCTCATCTCCTCTCCCCCTCCTCGGCGTCCTCCTCGTCCAACTGCGACCCGCGATCCACAGTGTTCTCTGTCGGACCTCAACCACGACCATCCACGCCCAGTGTTCCCTGCCGGACCTCAACCACGACCATCCACGCCCAATGTTCCCTGCCGGACCTCAACCACGACCATCCCCGCCCAGTGTTCCCTGCCGGACCTCAACCACGACCATCCACGCCCAGTGTTCCCTGCCGGACCTCAACCGCGAGTATCCACGCCAAGTGTTCCCTGCCGGACCTCATGTAGGAAGATATGGGACAAAGAATGTGCAGAAGAAAGTTAGAAAGAATGTCAGAAAGAATGTCAGAAGATATGCCAGAAGATATGCCAGATAGAATGCCAAATAGAATGCCAGATAGAATGCCAGAAGATATGTCAGAATATATGCCAGAAGATATGCCAGATAGAATGCCAGATAATATGCCAGAAGATATGCCAGATAGAATGCCAGATAGAATGCCAGAAGATTTGCCAGATAGAATGCCAGAAAATATGCCAGAAGATATGCCAGATAGATATCAGAAGATATGCCAGAAGATATATGCCAGAAGATATGCCAGAAGATATGTCAGATAGAATGCCAGAAGATATGTCAGAATATATGCCAGAAGATATGCCAGATAGAATGCCAGATTGAATGCCAGAAGATATGTCAGATAGAGTGCCAGAAGATATGCCAGATAGAATGCCAGAAGATTTGCCAGATAGAATGCCAGAAGATATGCCAGATCATATGCCAGAAGATATGCCAGATAGAATGCCAAATAGAATGTCAGAAGATATGTCAGATAGAATGCCAGAAGATTTGCCAGTAAGAAAATGTATAAATGTCATGGTGGGGATCACACGAAGTAAAGTAATTTCATATATTGGGAACAATCATCCCAACTGACTAAAATTTTTCAGAGGGGTGGCTCAGCCACCAACCAGATTCGGTCAATCCACCAGAGATGGGAACCTCCTGATTTGGGGGGGCAGGTCACTCAAACAACAACTCTAAAGAGTTTATATATAAGGCCTCATAGTCCTTTATACTTAGTACCTCTTGACCCCCTGAAAATATGGCTCTTAATTGCTCACACGAATCAGGCTGGATTACCAGAGGGTCATATTCCCACTGTTGTCTAACATCTCCTGCCGTTGTTGGTTAGCTAATCTTCCCATTTTTGTTGGTTATTGGCTAAATTTATCCTAGTCTATCTCAATGAATTTGGCTTCATCTGCAAGTTTCTTCAGCCAAACTCTGGTGATTTCAGCCTTTTTTCCAGGCGCAACAAGCTGCCATCCGATGCTGCCGTTGCGTGCGCCCGGACAGCCCTACAGGGATTTTCCAAGGGCTTGAAACCACAAGAAATATGTTGTTGCTGTTAGTTTTCACCATGGTTGGGTCTTGATTGGGTATGAAATAGTGGCAACAACCGGGAAACCTCCTACGTGTCACTGTAACCATGAAGTGTTAGGACATGTTAGGACTTAAACAAGCAAGAGTTGGGTCTACGATGAGCAAGTTTCAACGGGCTTGGGAACCAACAGAGATGTTGGATGATCCCCAAAGACCTTTGTTTCTGGTGGCTCAACCATCGCCGGTAGCCATTGGCAAACTCTATGAGGTGCCTGTATATCCACCAAGATCCACACGAATCCATCGAAATTCCAAGGACATCCTCTCTCACAGTTCCAAGGACATCTCCCATCAAAATCCAGAACCAACTCCGATATCAACATCTTCTATGAACTGCATAAGCATCCCATGTTTGGCCATCTTTGTTTGAAGCCGCTCCCCACAGTATTTTGATGGTCGCCACGATAGGTCTTTTCCTTCTTGGATGATGCGGTGGTGCTGTCGCCCCGCAGTGAGCAGACGCCCCGCAACTTGCGCCTTGGAGATTCCTGGGGGTTTGAAGGTGTAAAACCGCAAAAAATGGTGATCCAACGATGAAAAACGGGAAGTTATATAACCATGAAAAATGAAGGATTTAGTATGATTCAACCATCAACAATGGTGATTTGGCTATTATATAAGGGTGGTGGTTTACATGATTTATACAACCATTGCACAAAAATGAGGATAATGAGGTCTTAGTGGCTATTAATACTATTCATGAGGATATCATGGGATACATAACCAACTCGACGAACAGCTGGTTATGTATGGGGATTTGCCCATGACATATGGGTTTTAAACATCTTTTAACTAAAAGATGGGATTAGAAGTGGAAGTTCATAAATGACGGCTGCTTGGGTATGACATAGTGGATTACGAAACTACCTGGTTTATTGGGGAAAGTTATAGGGTACAATGTTTACGGGATACCGGTCTGCACCAACCAGTATATATAATTAGACGCGAGAACTGCAACGGGGTACTTTTCATGGCTCAAGTGAGTTATTTCAGGTGATTTGTGGGGATATAAATCCACCAATGACCGAGTTTCACTAAGAGGAATAAGTCACCTGTAAACCATCAATAACTGGGTTTAAGACACCTAAAATCACAAAGAACCGGTGGGGATTGACACTTGGCAGAAATGGTCCAGATTTCATCCTGAAACGCAGGTAAACATGGCATGGGGTGGGACCCATAGTCGATGGGAATTGGCCAATGAGAAGTGGCTTAGGTGCAACCACACAAAATCATGGACAGTAAGAACCCGAAGCTGCAGGCATCCTCTTTCCAAGCCAGTTAGAAGCGCCTTCGACCTACCGAGATTCCAAACCCAAGAGCCCTTAAAATCTGCATGGTGGCGTGAAGGGTGCTCATTTTCCATCAGATTCCATCTCTACATGTCTTGTTTTAGAGGGCTTGAAACGACCAAGCTGCAAAGCATGGGCAGACTTTGCCACATCAGTTGAAGGTGAAGATGATATGACCTCACTTTCCTTTGGGTTTCTCCAAATCGAAAGAGTTCCAAAAGAATCCTTTGGCAGTTGGCAGCTTTTGATTGGAAGAAACCCATCATTTTCCACAAGAAATCACTCGCTTAATGGGCGGAGAATGGGACCTTGGGAGCCTCTCACAACCAAGGAATGACACGGCCAAGCTAGCGGGTACAGGTCGTTTGGGCGACCAGGCAGGGGCCGGCAGGGGGGTTGGGGAGTGGATGTGACCACCAAACAGGTGACACCTGGTGAGACGACCTTTTAGGCAACGTAAACAAACCTCTTGCGGGTGAAAGTCTTGGTGTTTTGAAAGAATGGACGGTGAATGTTGGCAAACCTCCAAGTTGGAATGGTTTATTCCTCCCATTTTAGGGGGCTTCAAGGCAACAAACATGGATCGACAGGTCAACCAATAAACAAAGCCCCGAAGGACAACCTCCATTGTTGGTGAACACAACCATCATACCATCTTCTTTGGTTTTCATCTCCCATATTTTCGTGGGATCTTCAAATCTATAATTTTCAAGCTGGTTGGTAGGGAACTATGGGAACAATATCCATCTTCCATCATATTCCTTATCAAATAGAGCCAAGGCACTACGAATTGAGCTTCCCAATCCCCAGTGGCTGGCAGGGCCTAGATACCTTCCAGTCGGTGCTCACGCCCCGCTCGCGGAAAGAGGGCGAGCTTGGCACCCGGCGCGGCTCGGGGCGCGCGGGGGCGGCTGCACCTGGAGAAATTGAGATGACAAAAAGCGGAACTGGGGAGATCCTTGTTTTGCCCGGTATCCAACAAAAGTACAGGAATAGTGTAAATACCCATAGATACACATGTATATAATTATATGTATATTATATCTTGTATATATGGATATATATATATATGGATATATATATGGATATATATATATATGGATATATATATATACGGATGCGAATAGAGTGTAAGCTACGGACCAATGTACATTATCATATAATTCACTCTAAGACCCAGAGCCAAAGGGTTGTGACAATCGCCCTTTCGGCTCAAGACCCCACTGCAGCTCCAGAACAAAGATCTGCCATGCGGAAGCCGCAATCCTAGTGAAGCCGTCACCGAAGCATTTACTTCAACCCCAAGTATCAGGACATAATCGGACATCCAATCGCCGATTCGCAGGTTATCAGCCGTAGGACTCCTACGGAGCCTACGAGCGGGTAGCCGCGGGCCTTACAGATGACTGAACAGGATAGCAGCGATAATGCATTTTCTTTCTCTGGACATGCCGTTGCACCAGCTGCCGGCACGCAGTCAAATTCTTCACAGAGTATCGACACTGGTGGGAGCGATGCCTCAGAATTGAGAACAAGCCTACCCAGGCGACCTCTGGTTGCTCCTAGAGGGAGACAAATTTCGACAATGCAAGCAATTGAAGATAGGGACAGCACACCTGGAAAGAGAAGATCATCTACACGACAATTGTCGCCTCCGATGACTCCAAGGACTAAGGCAAAGACTACGTCGTCGAATCCGCCTTCACCGATTCAGGACGCTACTCCATCAGGGACAGGATCTTATCAACAAGTGAACGCCCCATCAAGTGGTAGCGACATCTTCACTGCCTATCAGAGTGAATTAGCTGAATACAAGACATCACTGGAAAGGGCCACTGAAGAAGAATCCGTACTTCAGGCAAGATTGAGCGAGACGACAGCATATGCCTATCAACAATTTAATTTCCTGGAAAGCACCACTCATCAAGAGATGATGTCGATGACCGAACAACTCCAGATGCTGAACTTCGAGTTACAGGCTGCACAACAAGAAGACGAAGGTGCGACCTACAGGATCGAAGAGTTGGAAAGGTATCAGACTATGTCGAATGAAGCTGCATCTCATTTGGAATTCAAATATTCACGACTACGTTCGGAATTCGATGAACAAATGGGACAAGCGAACGCAATTATGGTGCATGTGGGCGCTGATGCGAATGCTCACATCAATCAACTCAGACTGGAACTGGAAAACGCAGAGGTGAATGCCAAGCAGGAAGCTCTAGCGGTCGGCTATGCTAACGACCAGACATGTGCTTTACAGATCGAGATGCTCGAGGTTGCTAATCAGAACCAGACGATGAAGCACACCATGGCCATGAACGTCAGGCGACTGGAAACTGAGTTCGATGCTGCTGACATGAAGAGGGACGAGATCATGAAGGAATTCCGTAGTAACATAAGATCTGAACATGACCGTTATGCAGAATGTGAACATCACTTAGCTTTGGAAGAATCGCAACTTCGATTGCAGGTGATCCACAGTGAGAACTTACAATCTCGACTAGCGATTTCTGAGAACAGAGTATCTGAAGAATCTCTAGCTGAATCAGGCGGCATGCGGGACATGAGGTTAATGGGACTACGTTCTGAACTACACATGAAACAAAGTCTTTTAGATCGAATGCAACAGCAACTGACTGAATCGAAGAATCAGTATCATGAACTTTCCTGTCAACAAGCCAGAAGATCATCACCAAGCAGATCACCGCATGGAGGACCTCTCTATGAGATGTACATGCAAGCCGTGCGTGAACGTGACAGCTTGAAAGAATCCAAGGCCGAAGTTGACAAGTTGTACTTGCAGACTAGATCTGAACTCATTGATACTGAGGACCTGCTCAAAGTATTCCAGCGAAACTTTGATGAAACTGGTAAGAAATATCAAGATGCTCTGAACAAGATCGATCACATGAGCAACAATCCGAATGTGACAAGTAACTTGTTCGACAGTTTGCACAATGAACTCAATGACAGGGATACAGCTATTGCTCGCCTTCATACTGAACTTGAAGCCCAAAAGGACTCTCTTGAGCGTGCTCACAGGGATGCAGGTAAGTCCATCAAGATGTTGAACGATAGAAGACTCGTGATCAAAGGTGCGACTGACTATTCCATTCCTGAAAGCCATTTGACCGAGATGCATCAATTGGCCAATGAGCGTTACGCTGAGGTAGAAGAGATGTCGAGCACCATTGCTGCCCTGAAGTTGGAAAACCAAGCTCATTCTTCTTCATTAATGAATAGACCGACTACATTACATGGGTACCCCAGTAATGCCATGCCTCGGAATGAATGTGAAGAGAAGTGTGCCAAACTGAAAGCAGAGTTGGACGAGATGAAGCAAGAGAGGAACGCTGAAGTTCGAAATCTTCAAGATGAGTTGAAGAAGATGGAAGATCGTAAAGATTACTATAAGAACAATTTCTCTCAAGCTGAAGATCGTGCCAATGATGAAGAGCAGGAATACCGAGCAGAAGCTGAAGCCTTCGAGAAGCTCAGGAACGAGTACAACACAAATGTCAAGGAGTTGGAGAACCTTGAAAGGGATAGATCCAAGTCATCCGTATCTCTAAGAGAAGCCGAAAAGATCAGCCTCCAACCCTGGCCTAAGACCACTGAACTTTCATCCTGGAAGGGAAGTGTCGTTCATGAAGTTTGCGTTGCAAGTGGAGATCGAAACTATGAAGATTGGAAAGCATGGCTAGCTCCGTGTCTTGCAGATCAACCTGACTTGGAGACCCTGGCCAAAGCTCCTGATGTGAGATTCCAATCCATTGATGCCAAGCTCTCCAACGCCTTGAGGAAAGTCATTGACAATGCTGGGGACAAGTCCATGCAAGTGAAGTATGACATGTCCATGAAGAACCAATTGTATGGGAGGAGTGGGGACTTCATCAAGGGACGAGAACTATTTGCAATGATATTGATTAGCTTCAAGTCACCTGACCACACTGAAGTTCTCTACAATGCCCATCATTTGTATATGTTCAACTACTATGGAGATGACCAACTTGAGGCCTTCTACAACAAATGGCTTGACATCGTATACAATATGAAACATGATGATCTGCCTTCCAACAATTCCCTGCGTGACACGTTGTTCCGGAAGATTGAACATTCAAAGCTTATGGCCTTCGATATCAACCGATACAAAACATTTGATGAAGGGCATCCTGAGAAGACCTATGCTTACCTAACTGGTATGATCAAGGGATACATAGCACGAGGGAAGCAAGAACGACTGTTGAAAGATAGAGAACGTGCAGTGAAACTGTCATTGTCCTCTAACAAGACGACACCTGCCTTAGAAGATGCAGACAAGCCTGCCGCTCCCGTCAAGACCAAGAAGGAGAATGAAGCGGCCGCATCGTCTACAGGTGATCCTCCCAAACGTCCTAAGGCGAAAGCGAAGAGTGAAGCTGCATCGGTACTTCCTACACCTTCTCCGAAGTCCCATGCCGACAAGAACAACAAGAAAGGCAAAGGTGGGAAGGGAAGATCATCTTCACCCGTTGACAAGAAGAAGATTTTCTGTAACTACTTCTTCAATAAAGGAGGATGCAACAAAGGTGACAAATGTCTTTACAGCCATTCTCAGAAGGTCTACGATGCCAAGATGAAAGGTAAGAAAGGGAGAAGCGGAAGTCGAGATTCATCAAGAGGGAAAAGTAGAGGAAGTTCATCTTCAGCTGGACCCAAAAAGAAGGTATGTTGGAATTGGCAAGAGGGTACCTGCAAGTTCGGAAGCAAATGTAAATTCCTACATGCAGATAAATCGCCTTCAGCATCCTCAGAGAGAACCAGCAAGAAGACGCCAAAGAAGAAGGCGACTCCAATTACCATTGATTCCTTCTTTGATAGCGACACTGAAGACTCCATGGATTATACCTCACCGAGGATAGCCAGCGCAAAGAAGTCTTCTGATGATCGCAGGATCTCATTTGATCTGGAACCTGAGGTGCACGAGATCGCCATTGAGGACTACCAGGAGGGACTACCCAAACGTATGTATCGTGACCCCAACAAGCAATATGTCTTCTGGAAAGTTGATGATTTGACCGACGATCAGTCCAAGTCCGACAACACCCTCGGTTCAATCCGAGCACGGGCCAAGGCTATCATCATGGACAGATGTGGACTCCATCGTTTCGTTGATGAAGTTAGAATCATCATTGGCCCCAAGTTCGACATGTTGATCAAACTGGACTATAATCATGATGACTTGACTTTTATTGAAGAGCTTGTTGAACATGAAGCTGGAAAATCCCTCATGAAGTCCAAGAACGTGATGTGCATTTCACTACCAGTGCAAGCCAAAGATCGTAGATTCATCCTGGATTCTGGCAGCGGACACGATCTGATTTCTGCAAGGAAAGCCGAAAGGATGAACTTGAAGCAGCGAACTTGTGATCCTATCATGTTCCACACAGCCAACGGTTCAACTGCTACTCAGACAGAAGCAGAGATTGACCTGGGAACCTTTGATGTGACCTCTCATGCCTATGTACTGGACGACACTCCGTCCGTGATGTCTCTTGGGAAACGATGCATGGAAGAGGGATACTCCTTTATATGGCCTTCTGGTAAAATGCCTTTCTTGATTACAAAGGATGGTGAGCGCATCGACCTGACAATCCATGATAACATTCCTTATGTTGATCTTGGAACATATGAATGCACTCCTCATGAATGCCATCATGCATCGGAGATCCATGACCTTTTGACACACTCTCAAATTGGAGTCGATGACTTCGACGATACTATTAGCAATATTGGTCAATCCTCACGAAGAGTACATCTCGATGGAGAAAGTGGTCTTGAGACATCGACTGAGGATCACAATTGTTCCCGACATGTCAAGAAGCTCAAGA